CACGAGGGGAGCAATTAGGGCAACAGCAACACCACCAACAGCAACAGTAACTAAACAACGACAGCAATCAACCGTAACACGAACTACAACAGCAGCAATAACAACAGCAACAGCACCATCACCAGCACCAGCAGCAATAACAACAACAACAAATAGCACCAGCAGCTGCAACAACAACTAGCATACAGCACCAGCGGGCAGCAACAAACAATAACGACAACAGCACCAGCAGCGACAACAACAACAAACAGCAGCAGCAGCAGCAGCAACGACAACAACGACAACAGCATGTCTCGGAGGACGTACTGTACCTCGTGGTGGCTCTCATTCTCCGTGGGGTTGTAGCCCGCCTTTCGTGCCTCCTGCATCGTACAGCCGTACAGCAAAATCACACACAACGAAGCACTTAATTCCATTCCGGAGCATGCAAGATAGCCGCCGCCCTGCAAGGCTAGCGTTTGGAGCTTGCAACGAGGAATCCAGGCAGTCACATTCCACAACTCGCTACTACAGACATACCATAGTGAAATATGAACACTTCTTTGCGATTGTTACCTCTGCTATTCAGTTTAGCGATATCTTCGTTAGATCTACGTTCACCGATCACCTGAATGAACACTTGTACCCTTTTCATTGAAAAATCCAAAACACAAAAAAACATTCCCCGACAGCTTCACAGATACACATCCGCTTGACACGATGCTAGTTGGCGGCTTGAGTGCTCACCTCCATGATGGCCTGGTACTTCTTTATGGAGGCCCAGGCTTGAGAGAGCTCCTTGCCGTACGCCTTCTGCTCCATCAAATAACCGATCAAACGAGCATCCCGTTTGTCGATCAGTGCCGGGTACCGTATAGCACGATATTGCGCGGTACGCAACGATCCGGTGTGACACGGCATGGTGCGGTACGCGACGATACGGAATGATACGGTGTGACACGGTATGGCGCGGTACGCGACGATATGGTATGATACGGTATGGTGTGGTACGGTACGCGAACGATGCGGTATGGTACGGTACGCTGTGTCAAACCCCGGTCCAAAATCATTCAACAGAACCCAGAGCTACAGGCCAGTCACAGGCACCCACAAGCATACAGCAGCTTTCACGAGTATTCCACAGAACCGAAACCAGGAATTCAGAGACCAACAACGACCATATGGGAAATCGATCATTCTCCACTGCTGTATGGATTAGGGCCAACCAGACACTTTCCCAAAGCGACCGGCCTGGGAAAAAAAACATTCCCACTTGAACGTGCATCGTTCACACGACCGCGCTTGCCGCCACTGCACAGAGTGAAAGTCATCCTGGTTTCCCAAATCAGGATATATCCCCTTTAACACGGACATGTTTCCATCCAAAATCCATCCTCCGAGACGGACAGGATAATTTGTAAGAACGCCGAAAATCTAGAGCAAAGCCTACCGACAGATGTCGAGCAGTAAGTCAACCCTAGTTTTAGTGTTTAGTAAGTGAAAGACTTGGGTTATAATTTGCAGCATTATTGTTTGGGGGTGATGGAATGGACTTGAGAATGGTTAGCTCTGTGAGCAGGGCTGTGTTTAGTTCTGGTTGATATATAGCCAACAAGGGCATGAAAAATGCATGAGGTGGAGACTAGGTGTAATGGACGTTGAGGAAGTATAGGTATAAGGTTGATTAGTGGGTGCAACTGGGGAATTGTAGTTATTTGAGATAGAGAGCGAAAAAGAGAGAGGGAAGATCGTGGTGACGGATGCTCTCCTCGTTTCAGTGTTCGGCTTCCCTGCTGCTCCCTCTTCCCTGCCCCAGAAGGCCTTAGAAGCACATTTTTCATCGTTAGGTATGATGGACATCTTCCAGACGCGGGCACACACACTGGCACACACCTACACGTATATCTACACGCGATAGGCCACAGCCCGCCGATTCCACGTCAAAAAAACCACCTGTCCTCCCTAAGATGCAGAAACATACACATCTCGCCGACAACATCAGATGCCGTTATTACTGGCAGACCCCAGGGCCACGTATTGACGGTACAACATGAGAGGAGCGTCTGCGCGCTCATCCTCGAAATCATGGAACCACACCACGCCAACCAATCACACGCGTTCAGATATACGGTACTGGTCAGCTAAGATACGCTACTGACAAACCGGAAGACAGGGGAAACACGGGCACCTGGAAGCTGTCCTCCTTTGCAGTGGATGCACCCTTCTCGAGCTCCTTGTGAAGTGGCTCCACGAACTTGAGCATGGCCGGGATGTTGTGGTCGCCGTGGTACCTGTTCCATTCCATATGTTCCATTCCATGTGTTCCATTCCATATGTTCCATTCCATGTTCCAATCCATTTTCGATGGATGCGTGTAAGGCCAGGAAGGACACGAACGAAAACAAATTAGCATGCGCGCAGGGTTAGTAGACTGGTAGAAAGCATATCGCTTGCCTGACGTTGTATGAATTGATCCAATTTGGCTGTAAGTTTCGTTGCCTACAGGGTTTGGGCGTAGGGATTGAGGTACGGGTTGCAACGAACGATGCACGTCCAACCAGAGAACGACATCAAGTAGCGGCACGCAAAAACCAAACTTTCTACAACAGGAGGAGACAGGTGAAGTAGGAACAGTTGATGATAACCAGCAGGTCACGTACCTCTGCAGTTGATATCGCACAACGACACAGAAAACGACACACAACCTGATGGTGGTAAACTAAATAGCATAGACGCCTCCTCGACTGATCACAAACAAATACACGAACAACACGGGGGAATTGCATGAAAACAAATTCACAGCCTTCATGCAGCACACACTTTAACACTGCTAAATTCCACCATCCAGGCCACCAAAAGGCAACCACGGATGCAAGCTCTTACAGGGCTCCTCCATTGATACTGTACAACGATGCAGGTGAAGAACACGACAAGCAGCAAAACAAAACGATGAGGTTATCTCAGGCACGACTTACAGTCTCGACGCCTCCTCCAAGCCCTCGTGCCACTGCTCGTGCCACAGGATTGCCACGCGGATGAGCTCCGTGCTCACCAGCAATGCCTCCTGCACGACGACAACAACACACAAATATATTCCACAGGTTCAACAGGTCAGATCCTACGACACGCGTGACATGTTTCACAGCCGACGTACGCGGGGTGGTGCCTATAAACATGAATCCTGCGTCATTTATTATACTAATGCTACTAGGCAGAGAAAACAAAGCATTTCCTCAAAAATCAGCACCCAAACCAATGCAGATATCTCGACTAAAATACCCTATATAAACGGGGTGTGGAGAGAGTAACTTTCGTTCATGCTTTTTTCTTTCGAACACACGTACCTGTCTTATACCCTCTTAGTACTGGACGCCCAAATGGGGACACTTTGGGGACACAGCACTCAAATGGCCTGTTGTACCGCACCGTAGTCGTCCCTATGCTCCGCTGGGTGAAACGATGCGTGGCAAACCTTGGTCTAGCCCGCGTGACGACATCACCAAAACTTGTGACGAAAAAGATCAGAACCGCCCCAACATCAGACGCTCTCACCCGTTTCACAGTCAACGCTTAAAAGCATTCAAGAGGGGGGGGGGGGGGGTTGGCAGCGCTATTGCTACCCCGTACCCCTACTAAAACTAAGTTTAATATCCTCGCCAAAGCTACTGCTGTCACGACTCCTATCGGGACCAGTATTGCATGCTGGTTGCCTCGCCGTGTGGCCCTAAACCGGACTCTTGCCTTGACGAGGAAGTTGCTGTTGAGCACCATGTGCTGCATGAGCTTCTCCGCCGCCGCCTTCCTGTCCTCCTTAGGACTCTTCAGGGCGACAGAGAGGGGGTTCACCAATGCCTGCAAACCAAAGGGGGCGCGACAATGTAATTGCTTAGACCATACAAGAATCGGCGACAGCAAACCAAAGGGGGCGCGACAATGTCATTGCTTAGACTATACAAGAATCGACGACAAGCTTTATGTAATATGATAGCATCGACACTATCAGTTGGACCAGTACGGATTTTAGAAGGTACTGAGTAGAGACCGCAACGACAATAATGTAAAGCAACAGAACCGTAGGTGACAGAACATATAACGCCCCCCGGGACCGATTTTCAAAGCGCGAGTTCTCCACAGCAGAAAAAAACGGCGGCGTTGAAGCCCTCTCGTCAAGAGCTTGCCGAAAACGGATCGTTTGATTGATATATATCCTCTTCGTCGTGGACTTTTGTTGTTTCCTTCACATTAACAACCGTTCCGGTGTATCTCTACGCGGTGCCTTCATCTGTCCGTACTGATCTAACACCTGATGCGATCGATTCCCGTGGTCCCAGGCTAACTTTCCCTATCAAAGGTATATACTAAACAAAATGGACGCGAAGTTCCGCAAGCCAATAGAAACCAACAACACAATCGAGATTTGAGAATCGGTCCAGGGCGGGAAGGTGATGTCTTCCGTGATACCTGGGGGTGCTTCTCGCCCAGGCGCATGAGCAGCTTGTGTAGCGCCTTCCGGCAGACCTCGTCCTTGTGGTTCATGCAGGCGATCAGCTGGGGCACAACCCCGAGGCAGCAGTCCAGGTTGA